TAGCTTAGAGCCGTGGATTTCCAAGGGTTCTCCAGACTCTCCACTCCCCAGACTATTTTTCTTCAATTTAATTTCCTTCTCTTAATTTCTACATCTCTTTTTCTCTTCATGTTACTGCTGCCTCTCAATCGTTCTTGAGTCGGTGGTGTGTGTGCTCGTGCGCTTGTATCAGTAGAATCGCCGCTGTGCCCCTCCATTCCGTCATTTGCCCCTCCATCCTATATTATAGCTATTAACGAGAGCCTTTGAGCTCGGATCGTGACAAAATGGCGTCGCCCATTGCTTCCGCAGCTCTCAAGGCTCGTATTAGCAGGCCGTCTATGCTGAAGAAGCTTTGCCGACCTGAAGATTTATTGCATCATTTTCCTAATGGCGCCTACATTGGCTGGTCGGGGTTCACGGGTGTGGGCTATCCCAAGTGCGTCACTTATTTCCTACCCTCGCTATTGTATCTTGTTGGCCAATTCTAACGCATTAATCAGGAAAATGCCTACTTTCTTAGCCGACCATGTAGAAAAGAACAACCTGCAAGGACAATTGCGCTACACACTCTTTGTCGGTGCCTCCTCAGGGGCTGAGACGGAAAACCGATGGGCGGGGTTAGACATGATTGAGAGGCGAAGCCCCCATCAAGTCGGAAAAGCAATTGCAAAGGGTATCAACGAAGGAAGGATAAAATTCTTCGATAAACATTTGTCCATGTTTCCTGTCGATTTAGTATACGTAAGTCGACGAATTTCGAGTTTGTGCAAGCCTTAGGCGAATCCAATTCTAATGTTACCAGGGATTTTACACGAAAGACCGGCCGAGCAATAAACTAGACGTAGTGGTAGTCGAGGCAACAGAAATAAAAGAAGATGGAAGTATAGTTCCCGGTGCTTCAGTTGGTGCGACACCAGAACTCGTCCAACTCGCCGACAAGGTAAGAAGAATGATAGAGATAGTTATGGGGAGGTAAAAGCTAATTGGGGTGAAATATCAGATCATTATCGAAGTTAACACAGCTATCCCGAGTTTCGACGGGCTTCACGATATCACAATGACCGACCTACCCCCTAAGCGAAAACCTTACCTGATTATGGGCGTTGAAGACCGTATCGGAACCACCTCTATCCCCATCGATCCTGAAAAGGTCGTTGGTGTGATTGAGTCTGACTACCCCGACCAGACGACCGACAACACACCTGCAGACGAGACCTCTCGCTCGATTGCGAACCACCTAATTGAGTTCTTCGAGCACGAGGTTTCTCAAGGCCGCATGCCCAAGTCCCTCCTGCCCCTCCAGTCCGGTATCGGTAACATCGCCAACGCGGTCATTGGTGGGCTCAGCGAGTCTAACTTCTGGAACCTAAAGGTGTGGACCGAAGTCATTCAGGACACTTTCCTTGATCTATTCGACTCCGGACGTCTGGACTTCGCGACCGCCACCTCGGTGCGTTTCTCGCCCGACGGCTTCAAGCGTTTCTACGACAACTGGGAATCATACCACAACAAGCTCCTCCTCCGTTCGCAACAAGTTTCCAACTCCCCCGAGATCATCCGCCGACTCGGCGTTATCGGCATGAACACGCCCGTCGAAGTGGACATCTACGCGCACGCGAACAGCACGAACGTGATGGGCAGCCGCATGCTAAACGGCCTCGGCGGGTCCGCCGACTTCCTCCGCTCTAGCAAATACAGCATCATGCACACGCCCTCCACGCGGCCCTCGAAGACGGACCCCCACGGCGTGAGCTGCATCGTGCCGATGTGCACGCACGTGGACCAGACGGAGCACGACCTGGACGTCGTGGTGACGGAGACCGGTCTCGCGGACGTCCGGGGCCTGAGCCCGCGCGAGCGCGCCCGCGTCATCATCGACAAGTGCGCGCACGACGACTACCGGCCCATCCTCAAGGACTACTTCGAGAAGGCCGAGTTCGAGTGCCTCAAGAAGGGCTGGGGCCACGAACCCCACCTCCTCTTCAACTCTTTCGATATGCACAAGGCGCTGTTGGAGGAGGGCAGCATGAGGAAGATTAAGAAGTGGTAGAGGGGGTTAGGCGATGGGGCGGCAGGTGAGGAAGAAGAAGAAAGAGTTATATAGGATTTGGGATGGAGCTGCTTAGGTGGCTATAGTGTATATACCTGTCTTCCAAGCTTTGAATAAGTATATATATAATATCTTGTCTTGTCTATTTCCGGATCTTCGCTTCAGGCGTGGTGTGAGCCAGGACATGACATTGAAAGGGCAAATCCAATTAATGGGATGCAGAAATATACTAAATGCCTACTTTACCAGAACATACCCACACTAGAATAGCGATAGTAAAGGTAGAGATCTTCTATGCTCAAACTCTCTATTCGTTAAACTCGTTGCTATTGTTGCGCAGTTCACTGGATGTCACTTTTGCATGTTTGGGTGGGTATAATGTAGGTAGCGGTACCAGCACAAGATACGATATATTGGGGAGAGTGCATTGACTAAATCATTTAGAATCTGGCTTATTGATGTGAAGTACAAGCTTCCTAAACAGGCTTATCTGAATGGCATAGATGTTTCTTTTGACGCAACGCCTCTAGCTGGAGCTCAGCAAGCCGCTCAGTACGTCGTTGATGCACTCACCTCTGCCACATTTTGGGCAAGCCTCTAACGGGTTCAGCCCGATAACTAGGCAGACTATGCGTGCCAACATGACGAAGCCGGAGAACAAGACGGAGAATATACTGGAGCTCATGGATCGGTCAAAGTCGTCGGATTCACAGCTGAATCCGACCTGGATTCCCCGTTTGGGCAATATATTCTCGGACAGCGGCCTGGTAGATGCAGAGGTGGATGTACATGGTAGTCTAGGTACCTGATTATGCTTTTTTAATGCACGAGCTCAGATGCAGAATAAGCAAATGGCAGAAGAGTTGAGACAGCTATTACAACGCGCTATCTAAGAGACACGAGAAAGGGCTTATCTCACAGCGATTCGATATACGGTTGTCGGAAAGAAAGTGTGATGAAGTTGGCACGGAAACGCTTGTATTCACCCGTGATGTTTTGTTTTGACTGCGTAACGGAAGCCAATGCCAAGTGTTTGTCATGATGTAGTACAGATGTAGTACAGTTACACAGGATAATGCACTCTTCGGAGACAAGTTCAGCCCCTATCACACCGTCACGTGAAATCACCAGGTAGGTGCTCAGTGCTGCCTGCTCGTTTGACAGCTCGTTTGACAGCTCGTTTGACACTTCCCAATCTCAACACGAATATTCAGTGTGTTGCTAGAATAATCGCCATTTCCTGTAGACTCTTGCCCAAGATCGACCTCACGATGGAGTCGCTTCTAGTAGAGCTCTTACATCAGATATTCAGCTCCTTGTGCTTTCATTGCCAAAACCCGGGAGTATTTCCTAACGCCGACCTTGACCACGTCCTCAACGACAAGAAGGCATTGGCTCACCTATGCCGCACGTCAAAATACATCTGTTCCATCGCGCAACCCATATTATACCACTATTACGCCACTGGAAATACCGACCGTCGAGCAACACGGAATTTTGAATATGACTTTCTTCCACAATTTATCCGCACCATCGCTCAACGTCCTGATCTGGCGTCACAGATCACCACGATGCATCTTGTAGAAAATGGCCCCTTAGAAGGATATGATTCACAAATCCAGACCATCGAATCCTTAACAGAATTCAGCATCTCGAAAAACCTTCTCGAAGAGCCTTGTCTACCTGATGATTGGCGTGAGGGTCGTGTCAGGCGATGGTGCATTGCTGGTACTTCGTTCTATCAGATTCTACACTGCTGGTTGGCCACGCTAGCCGTGGTGCTCTCTCCACGCTTGAATAGTTTATATCTCGATACCGAAGGCGGCTGTTGGCTTCCTGACCTAGAAGATTGTCCCCACATTAAGCTCCTGTCTCTGCAGACATTGGGACTAATGTCACATGCAATCAACTATGTTCATGCCAGTTTACCCGACACAAAAGAGCTCTGTCTAGCAGCACCGAACATTAAAACCATCTACGTTCATAATGCCTATAATTCCAGCTCCGCGGTAGAATGGTTCAGGACGTTTAAAGATAGTTACGGCCATAAGTCACCCATTTCCAATGCGAAAAGGTTAGCAATATCTCACCTTCATTGGGATGACGTGAAGATCTTGCTGCGCTCCGTATCAGAATTGGAAGAATTTGAACTATATTGGGAGGAGAATATGGATTGGGCTTGGAATCATGGATTAGGAAATGTGGTAGACTTGTTAGATCTTGTGAAGGCAACGCTTAATAAGCTTTGCATAGGGTGGATTCCACGCCGCGATCTCCGTCTCCCGCAAGCGCCATCTAGTTACAGACTTGTCGGAAGTCTCTACGAGTATCCTAAGTTAGAGTACCTGTCGATCGACTGCTTTTCATTATATAACCATAAGGGCCGTGTGGGCTACAACTACAACATTCCAAATCAGTTGGTAGATTTTCTCCCACAGCGCATCCGATTTCTTCGGATCTCCTACGTGTATGAGGATATCACAAAGTCTCTTCGTCAGCTTGTTGCGGACGCTCCAGATAAGTTTCCATTTCTAAAAGAAATCGTTGTTGGCGTTTTTAATGACTACTTTAACTGCCTCAGAACGGCAATGTCACTTGAAGGGGAGTTCGAGGCATCGGGCATTAAGTTCACCGTGGTAAATGATTCTTCAAATGCGGATATGAGGACCTTGATTCCGGGGGACGTGATCGGATCTAGGGCACCTCCTATACCTCGAATACGCGATATGTTGGAGAAGGAAGCTGAGGAGTCGGTGTGAAATAGGAGTCGGTATTTATATGTGAATGTTCTAGGCATAAATAGGCGTGTTTGAATTTATCCATGATCATTTTTCTGCCCCCCTTTCCCCGCCCCCATTATCTTGGTGACACTCCGAAAATCGTTATGGATTAATTTTACTGGGGGCACTCCTTGTTCAGGTGGGTCTGCTGAGTCACGGCCTCACCCGCATGCAATGTACATCACCAAGCCCTTATAGCTCAGTGGTAGAGCGCAGCACTCGTACTATATATAGCACAGTATTACTATACTACTATATTGTCAGTCACAAGTTTATGCTGAGGTCCATCGTTCAATCCGGTGTGGGGGCATATCTTGTTGCGACCTTGTTTTTTTCTTATTCGTAAATGTTTTTTTACCATTTCCTTTAACAATGAATAATTGTTTTGTAATAGGTACCTACCTATCTGGTAGTTACTAACACTGGGTGCCAAGAGGGGGAATGAGGGGAGGGGTTTAGTTGTTATCCAGCCCTGTTATTCAGGGGTTAGTGGCCCCCTTCCCTCACCAATTCTCACTACAATTTAGTTTGCAGTTTTTTCTCCTTTTCTTAACCCTCTAGAAAGGCGCAATTCCAACTTGTCGCAAGCTTTGTATCATTGACCTTGTACCATTTGTTAATCATCGAAAACGAACAGTAAGCTAGCATGCTGCCAATTGAAATAGCATCAACAATTAACTGGAAATAAGTAACCCCTCTCAGCGATGATGGTACCCGCTATAGTGTCATTCTCATAGCCTTCTATTTGCACCATGCTTGATGGACTAGTAGAGACGATTAGTCATAGTCAACTTACGTCGACGGTCGCGCTTGCCGTAGGATCTGGTCCGTCACTGTAGGATTCTATAAGTTCAGGGGGGGGTAATTCTCCCATCAAGAACATGGTTGAGAAGGAGTGTTGTGACATCTGGAGTCGAGATTGGTAAACTAGTAATATGCGTCCTCGGAACATGTTCCAACTAGGTTAACAATAACCCTGAGCAGAATTGCCACGCCTGTAAGGAGTGGTAGCATTTTTTAAAGTAAACATTACTCTTGATCATCATTCGAAATAGTCGTGATGGACAAGCTAGCTTACCTACTGACTTTTTAATCACCTATCCCCTCCAGTGCTTTGTTCATACTCTGGTTCGTTTGAACCTTGATAGCATGGCGAGCTACGTACTGAGGGATCAGCACTCAAGATTGGGTTACAGTAAGGGATATCCATACCCAGCCAAAGATGTTTGTTTCCCCAGATTTCCCTAGCTTCCCCGGCTTTTCCATATTCGATTCCTATAAGAGGTAGATCACTGGGTAATATCTGGCCGCATCCTAGTATTAAGACAAAGCTATTATGATTTGATGTCCTACCCTAAAAGTGTTCTCATCTTTCCTGTAAAAGTAATCGGAGTGGCTTTCAAGATGATAATAAATTTTATTGAGATAGCTACCTATACAAAATGGAGGGTGATACCTATCAAAGGTAGCGGAGCAGCCAATACTCCAAGATAAAGCTTATCGTACGACAGCTAACGTATATATAGCAGTACGCGGCCCATCTACCCAAGTGATCTTGTGTGCAGGGAAAAAAAGAGAATGCCGAACAGATCCTGTCGCTATTGTGTGCTCTAATATGCTGAGATAATAACGAATGTGACGCAATAAATATAAGTCAATAAGCAAGTGTGAGAACATCTAACCCCTTAACGTCTTTGGCCATAAGTAGATAGCGAGGAGCTGCCAGGAGATGAACCGCCAGAGGCTATCTGTCTTTTGTCTTTCCCCCCATATACGCTGCTGCTTGAGCTGGAGTCCCACATCAGACCCGTGCCGTTACATGACCGACATTCTTTAACTCTGAATATGTTGGTTAGGATGTTTTTGAGCCATATATGGTCATATCGACGTACAATCTTGGGGTGCCAAGGCAATATGAGCATGAATAAGGCATCCGGTGGTCGGGGCCGAAGCCATATATCCTTCGGTCTTCTAGAGTAGTACTTGCCGTAGTGCTTGCTGATTGGGATGGCATGGTAGAAGGCTCTACCGGTTTATGATATTATGTCAGGTGTTATAAGGTAGGTACCTAGTAGATGACCGAGAAACTTAGTTTGGGGTTGAGAAATGTTGATTGATAGTTAGTAGTCTCTGTTCTTTATATCATCTCTCTCAGTATATAGCACACTCGCAGCCGTAAGTCGTAAGGCTCCAGCTTGGACATGTGCATTGTTGTATGCATGGTACTCTACCCGAGGGGCTGTTCCTATATACTGGGGGCTCACCGACTCTTCGTAGGCGACCTATCTCCATGCACTAGATATCGTAGGCGTCAGTTCGAACAAGCGAGGCCAAGAGGGATTTGTGCCCCTGATTTAGTTCCTGATTCGATATGATCGAGTTACCTGCGAGCCTTGGAACTTAGGATTTCATTAATACCTCTAAGGGTTGTTGGTTCGAGATATTTTAGGCATCCTAGACATTGTGTCACTCAACGTAATGTCATGTCACCTCTGCACTTCATATCACGTCTTTGAGCTATAATCGGCTTGCCATAACGAATCAGGTAAGTCCCTTTGACCCAAGAAACTCATTCATTTCATCAAGACTGCATATTGTGTATCACGATCCCCTAGCGCCACTGTCGCATATTGATAATGGTCGGTAACGCCTGTAAGTGGTGCTTAGCTAGCGGTCCGAACCTGTTTAGCTCGGGAACTTTTTGTGCACAGGAATTTTAGGGGGGAGTTGAATCAAGATTTGACCGAGATCACGCAATGTGCTATCTTCTTTGGTGGACGTACGAATTGTTGGTGGCTCTTCCCAGTTTTGGCTGGTCAGCTGCAAGTAGCCGCAGGACGGGCTGAATACTTTGGTATCCTATGGGGACACGTAACAGGCGCATCATCCGAAGGCACTCACGAAATCGTTGATTGGTGTATCAGGTCCGTACGGGAGGATTGATCGTAGCATTTAGGATTCTCATCTTGCATCGAGTCCGAATCGTAGGGAACGCAAAGAGACTGCTTGGCACCAGGAATGTCTTTGATAGATCACGACATCTTTCTGCACCGTCCCGGCGATCTGAGCCGGTCCTCCGGTACTCTTAAGCAGCTTCCCGTAACCTGCAGTCGGATGATGCCCTAGCTACAGTAGGGGAGGTCGTAAGATATATATTAGTCATAACGCGAATATTACGAAGATGAAAAAGCAATACGTTTCTCACTGATTTAATCCATGGAGACTTTGAAGGATTCCTTTTTAGAAATTAGCTTGGCTTTCCCTTTGAGCTCGGGGGTCGATATAAATCATCGTGACTGCTCGTATCAACTGGCATCCACATTATCTTACCCCTGTAAGTATAAGGGGCTTGACGGCTCCTAGGCGCTAAAGCGAGAGAATTTTAGCGCATTATTATAGTGAGTAAATTCTGCCTGTCAAAACAAAGCATTGTAATTATCCCTGTAATCCGGTTAATATGACTAAAGATATAATCAATCAGAGCGCCTTGAATAGATAATTAAATCATTTAGATTATACGAGAATATTATAGGATTTGGTAGGTACAAACTGGAATCGATAGCCGTCGCCGAGGTGTTGTTGAACTGTTGTTGTTGTTGTTGTTGTTGTTGTTAACTACAAAGCGGGAAGAATACAGCCCTGGAGGTATGTTCGGGGCTCCTCCAGGGCTACCACCAGCTAATAATAGTGCCCAGGTGGGTCCACACATCATTAAACCCCTAATTCTTAGCGCACCAAAGCCCCCGAGCCCACTGTAATTTGGTAGAATTAAACCCGGGCGATGGCGGTTCAAAATAAAAATACACTGCTAATTATCCTCCTTTCTTAGGTACTTGTATTTTTATCATACCTATCCTTTAGCCCAAACCCTGTCCATCACAAGACAAATCTGGACCACCGGCTGATTTGACAGCGCGCTCGACACACCCCTCGGAGATGAAGAACGGGAGATAGAAGCGCGCTTGGTAGCGACCGTCATCCTGTTCTTTAAAAGACCAACCGGTCAATGCGCCGCATCCCCTCTCCTCATCGAGGAGCTTGTCGCCATAATCATCCTCCGCCCATCCCTCAATATTGAAGACTAGGAATTGCCAGGCCGCGAGACTGTCCCAAAAGAAACAATCCGCATCCGGCTCAGGCTCCGGAGATGGGGGAGGAGGCGGTGGAGGCGGTTCCGTTGTTGGTGTGGGCTCTGGCGGGGGTGGATCCGGACTGTTCCAGTCCCCTTCATCCGCCGATGAACTCGAGCACGCGTCTCCAAGGTAGTAACATAGGTCATCGTCGGTGCTGCCGCATCCCAGGTACAAGAAAGCGCTGGCATCCACAAAACTACCTCCTCCGAGTTGGCGTGCGGTAAGCTTCGTCGTCTTGTTCCCTGGTTGATGCCCTTGGATTTGGGTCTTCATGACATTTCGCTCTACCTTGGGCTGTGCTTGGTCGTCGTCGTTACTATCTTCCATATATGCGGTTTCGGACTGGCTCAGATTGGCAGGCTCCCACGCGAGCTCGTCAGCGGTTGGTCTTCCGCGCCGACGTCGCGCAGGTCTGTTTGAAGGGCCCTTGTAACCAGGATAATTATCACATGAGTAGAATTCAGGGCTATCCTTGCGATCGAACTCTCCAGACAGGCCGTGTCTAATCCATTCCCCGGCAACGTGTATCTTCTTCCCGGGCGACGGGTACTGGCAGTAGGCACTGTTGGTCATGGTCGTGGTGCTAGCCGTGACCTGACCGTTTGCGTCCTTGTCGTAGCCGATGGTTTTCTTGAATAACTTATCATCCCACCAAGGATCGTAGGAGCGCTCTCCAGCATTGACTTCTGCCTGATTGACCAGCAGGAAAGCGTTTCCATACGGCTGTGCACAGATGTTTTCCGAGATATCGTTGCCCAAGTAATAGTCCTCGTCCGTCCTTCCTGTCCTAGTTTCGTTCACAAAGACTACTGTATAGCTAAATCCTGCAGCAGCCCTCCCTCCAGCATCTTTGTAGAAATCTCTCAATGCTTGTCCATGGTTCGAATTCTCTTCGCGGGGTATCAGACGAAGCACTGATTGTTCATCCCACACCTTGTTGTTGGGATGACGGTTAGGATTACCAGAGCCCCAAGGATATTCTTCAACCTCGCAGTCGATAAGACCCCACCCGTCAAACTCCAATAGATTATTGAACCTCTCCTCTCCCTTTGCGGGCTGCCCGCCAGGACGGAATTTATTGTCATACCACGGCTTTGTAGGATGTAATCCAGAATCGAGCGCGTAAGTTAGGGTGGTAGGCTTGCCGCGTTCATTTATAGCCGATCGCGCGTTAGCA